CCCCAAAACCCCAAAACCCCAAAACCCCAAAACCCCGATATTCCAAAACTGCATTGAAATAATTCTAAATATATAGAACTGGGCTAAGAAAGGTCATCCTCGGAGAGCTCTTTGTAGATGTTATTATCGGAATTGCCTCTCCTTGAAGCATTCCTGGTCCTCCTAGCTGGGTTCCTTTTCCTGTCACTTGAACTTTTACTGAAGGAATTATTGTTGTACCCAACTTCGCTTTCATCAATAATCTGGTCTTCGATGCTCTTCTGCTTGCCTTTTGCTTCTCTAATCTTCATCTTTGCGTAGATGAAGTCTTTCGAGTATCTATATATTAGATGATATCCACCCAAGGAGGAAATCCTAGCTCACTAATATAAAGAGTTAAGCTGGATGAAGAAAGTGCACAGATTAATGATTACTTATCGAAGGTTCTTAGCTCCTTTTCCATCCTTTTCTTCTTGAATTCCTCCTTCATTTTGTGTTTGAGCATCTCGGTTCACAGAATATTGTGCATCTTTACAATCTTGAGGTTATAGAAGAGATCCTTTTCAATCCCATCGCTCATCCTGATGCTCTTATCAGTCTTGAGGTATTCCTTGAGAGGTTCAAATTCTTTATCCTCAATAAACTCATGATCATGGAGTTCCTCCAAGACTGCAATATTCTCATTGAATTTCTCTAGATTGGAGGGGTCAGGATGGGCTCAAAATTGTGACTAATAAATGAACCTCACATCTCACTGAGGAAGGAGGCTAAAATGCATAAATAGATTAACAATTAGAGGATTAAAGTCTATTCCAAGCTATATTTACCTGGTTCTTGGCTTGAAGGATCCTCCAAAACAGCTGCAGGGTTTCTAATTTCGTTATCTCATCGTTGCAGCAAGTCTATCTCTTCCTCATTATAGTCTATTTTAGCTGAAGAATAGCCCGCTAGCAAAATATCTGTCTGGAACATTCTGTTATACAGACTAGTCGCGAATTCATGTGGGATCCTTGGTGGAGCTTGTGGTCTGCTTTGATAGCCGGCCTATTCCCATAATTTAGCACATTTCCCAAAATCTGGAAGAAATTAAGTGTAAATTTGTTTAAAACTGGGTGAAGGCCGGATAACTTACAGGATGATTTGGCCTCGCTTGCATTGGGTCCATTTTTCTTAGATAATTTATTATAAATCCTGACTATTTCGGGGTTTTGGGGTTTTGGGGTTTTGGGGTTTTGGGG